GCATCCAATTTACATGGCTATAAGAACAGGCACCAGAGCGTCTTGTTTCCTAAGATAAACCAACGACAAAGTATGGTTTTGACCACATTTCAGTCGCCATTTTATCTTCTCCAAGTCAGTCACCCTGTATGATTTTTAACCATATTTTAAGCAGATATACTCCAGAAATTTCACTTGAATAAGACTTTCAACATATATTCGATACTAGACTTGACGTTTGAACCTAATCAATTACTTGTTGAAGAATGAAAAAGCGTATTTTCCTGAACGTAAATTATGTAAACATCTCGACCGAGAACGAGCTGCGAAACAGTGCTGTGACCAAGGTAGCTCAAGCGAATCGTGCATGCGCAATGAAATGGCCCCTTGTTCTGATTACCTCTGACTCCTCATCTTCCTGATCAGTCTCTTCCTYGTCATCACTTTCACTTTCATCAGTAGACAGGTCCAGATGGGTATGTGAACTATTACCAATATAGATACGAACATGCTCTGGATAGCGAAGTTTTATGTCACTGTCTTCGGTTGGAGCCTTTTCACTATCTCCTAATAAACAAAGCCCAACTTTTCATATGCAGTTGTGAAGTAAAAAATGCCGAGATAGCACAGTTGGTAAAATGCGCAACTCACTTCAGAGGTTGGGAGATCGGAAAGCCCGATAATGAACGGACTCGGAAATCTCAAAATAGTAATGTTAGAATGGGCAGCTTACAATGATAAACACATTCACACAGTTAGTTCCAGAACTCTTTGGTTGTTAACATAATCTTCGAGACTTTTAAAAATAATTATCCTGGCRAGAGTAAAATTTAGTTCAAGTCAAAATTACCACTTGAATCCTCAGATTTTTACCAAATGAAATTATTATTCATTGATTTCAAATTTGAACGCGTTTATCGTATACAACAGTTGTAAAKGAATTGAAGTCTAAAGACGAAACTAGTTTTCCTTAACCGAATCTTGTGTTTTCTACGTGTCAAAGGAGGGATCAAAATATTTTGACATCTTTTGAAATAAAATTATTACATTAACCGCTTTTTAGGGTATCCTTGACTATTTAAGTGTTTGCAGCGATCAATCTTGCTTAGTGATCAATCTAAGCGATCCACCGTACTTAGCCATACATCTTACTTTGCGATCCATCTCACTTAGCGATCCGCGTTATATAGCGATCCATCTTTTTACTTAGCGATCATCTTACTTAGCAATCACCTTACATAGCGATCCATCTCACTTACTATCAGAACAAATGACAAACTGCATTGGAATGCGTATCGTTTTTAACTCGGAGATTGCGTTAGCAATCGAAGAGTTATTGYAGGTGAACGGTCTGTCACTCACTAAGTCAGTCGGTCAGTTAGTCATCAGTCAGTCATTTTCCTGTAAACTGCCCTTATTTCTATAGTAACTATGAGGTAATWTTTATTTTTATTTTTCGCCGTCTTCATATACATTTTTATCATATAATCGAGTRCGAAAATCCCGTACAAAGGCACTTTCCATGAAGAAGCTTGTTTATT